TGTACAATGATGTTGCATATTATCTTAAGCCTCCAGATTGGTTCCTTCTGAGTACTATTGATCCACAGCAGGAAAATGTTTAAATTGTTTCTTATTCAATTTACTGGGGTTTTAAAAAGTCTCAGGCATTGATTGCCCTATGTATTATTGATAAAGTATAAATAAGATACAGGTTTTATACTCAAGATACTGGCAGTAGGCAATTACTATATGCAGTCGTGGAATTATTTTTCTATTTGGGGGAAAACTCAAATTGGCTAAAATTATTAAGATGTGTGCCTGTAGAAGTATCGATTCTATATAGGCATTGATTACAGTTTCATTTCTGAAAATAGTGTATTGGTGAGTGAAAGAAGAGGTTATACACTGTATGGGTAAACTTGTTAAACTCCTTGAGGATACAAACTGTTCCATACTGACAGAAAATAGAACATTGGTTGCTAGAGGCCTCCCAGGGGTGTGAGGAGGGTCAGGAGGGATTGGTCACAGGGGAGCTTGAGAAAAATTTTAGGAGTGATGGTTAAGCTCGCTTTCTTAATTGTAATGATGGTTTCATAGGTGTATATATGCCAAAACTTATCAAATTTTACTTTATGTATGTGACAGTTTATTAAATGTGGAATATCCTTCAATAAATGTTTAAAAACAAACAAGCAAACAAAAGCATACTGGTGAATATGCTTATCTTTTCTATAATTCTTTTTAATGTATTTTTTCCTATACAAATTCATCACTATTCTTAATCTATGTCCATATATTTTTGGAGTTACTTATATTAGTCACTCTTTTATATTATTTCTTTATTTACCAGTATTTCAGAGAGTGTAGACAAACATAGGGGAGGGGTGATTCCAAATTTCAAGATATAGATACAGAAGCAAATATTAGAAAATGAGATATAACTAGAACTATAGTTATGGGTTGGATTACCAGTTTGAGAATATGGATATGTGTCACAGTCTTTGAAATTTACCTGGAATTGTGCTCTCTTCCTGCAATTTTGTTTTTATCTAGGTCTACGAGTTGCCACAGGGGAGGTCTAGGAGTAGACAACAAGAAAAAAAAAAACATGGGAATAAAATTTGAAATCTCAGCATAAGATAATTTGGTCTAACATGAATTGCAAATCATTTTTTATTAAGTATAATATAGTTACCGAAAACCTCATTTTTTTGAGCATCTATAATTAAATACCTTTTGAACATAGATATTTCTATGTTCAAACTAAAATATCTGTAGAAGGAGCCTCTAATGATCAAGAATTTTTTTTGGAGAAAAATATTTTCAGGACACGGTCACGAATTTGTTTGGTCCTCACACCATAAACAATGGGGTTGAGAAAAGGTGGGGCTAACAGGTAAAGGTTTGATAGGAGGATATGAACATACGGTGGTATGTGAGAGCCAAACCTATGTGTGAAGAAAGAGAAGAAACCAAGGAGGTAAAACTGCAGGAAGACGCAGATGTGGGCAATGCACGTATTAAAGGCCTTGAACCGTGCCTCCTTCTGGGGCAACTGAAACACAGTGACAAAGATTTGAACATAAGACAAGGTGATGAAGATTATGTCAAACCCTAAGATGCTGAAGGCAACAAAGAGGCCATATATCTTGTTGATCCGGATATCTTCGATAGCTAGCTTCACAACGGCCATGTGCTCACAGTAAGAGTGAGAGATGACTGTAGTTCGGTAGAGTTTCAGACGACATTTGATGAGCATAATGGATGGTATTGTAAGAATGGCAGCCCTGAGTGTCACCCCCACTCCAATGTGAGTCAAGAGTTGCTGGGAGAAGATGGTGGCATGTCTCAAGGGGTCACAGATGGCCACATAGCGATCTAGGGCCATTGCCAGGAGGATGC